CAATTTTAGGCACCGAAAGCATGTACTAAGACAAGTTGCATAAGTTTACGTCTTTTTTTGCAACCGGTGAAAAAGTACTTTTTTCAAGTCAAACCGAAAAAATAGTTAGTGGCCCTCGTGCTCGCTAACAACTGTCCCATTGCTTACATTACATACTGTATTGTAAGAAAAGGAACGTTTTGAATGGGGCATTGGTTTGGGGTCACTTTGTTGTGTTTTGGTCTGACTTTTTACGTACTTCCGGTTGCAAAAAATCGATCGTATGCTAATAAAGCTGCAAATTAAGACTCTAGATATAAATATCCAGAGAATACTTCGTTGCGTAAGAAGAACTGTATTCCCAGCTAAGTCGAAGACGATCCAGTTTTTACTATCGCTTTTGCTATTATTCTCTGTGATCTAATATAACCATGTTTTTCTTCAACCCTCGCATTATCGCAAGTTCTGGAGGTAGTTGTGGTGATAACGCCGATCGTCGCTGAACTGAAAGCAATCATGAAGAGTCGAATCATTCTGGATTGCCCTCCACAAACTCAAGCCGGGTTCTGTTTGAGTGCATTCAGAGTGACCGCCACTCAGAGCCAGATAGGTAGATCATCGACTAGAAAAGACCGATCCTATCCTGGCGCGATACCAGGAAGGATCGCATATGGTGGGGTAACAGACTACTCATGTATTGATAGAATTAAAGCGACAAAAAAACGCTCAATATATCCGTATGGGTCGGACGATATCAAAGAGTGAATGGAGGATAAGTTCCTAGGAGCGGGGGATAACAAACCTGTGCACGCTTGTAAGACACAAATATCTGCTTTTGAAAGCGCTTTGCATTTGTTTTTTATGAGTGTCTCGGCGGTCTGCAGTCGTCTTCGTCAGTGCGCTGCCTTCCGCAACTCAACAAGAATTACATCAGGTATCTTTCGAGTAATCCCAGAACTTCGAGTTTGAATTCAGTCAAATCGAGATTCATGGGATTCTGGAATCGACACCCTGCTTGTCGCCGCTAGATTGGCAGCTGGATATGCTCGTGGGACACAGCTGAGTTGATCTTGTTGGTGGTTCGCGAGATATCGAGAACCACATCAAAGGATAAACAGTCAAAGGAAAGCAAGTTTCTGCGGCGAATTCTTGGAGTGACGACAATCAAACCCAAGATTATTCCAACCACCCACGAGTTTTTTTTTTTTTTTTGCTTCAATGGACTTGTCGCTTGTGAATGTATCTTGCGGATTCCAAGATGCGTATTTCAAGGAGCACCAAATGACCTCCGTATTGTATTCCGCCCGAAATTCCTTGTCACAAATATGCTGACGACTTCGGTGTGTTAGATTTGATCTTTTGCACACGTGCAGCGCAATTGATGTCATATTGATACTTGGCATTATTATGTCTTGGGTGATTTCACTGACCATTCTTCACACGCGGTATCATTCGGCGTAGGACAATCCGTTTCAGCGGCACCAACGCCCCAGCGGATGACAGGGAAGCAAAACACGACTTTGACGACCGATTATGATGCAGCATTCTTCAAAGTTGTCCAAGTGTGCGGATCCGATCTTTACAATAATACACTCGAAGCGATCCTCCTCGTATTACAGTGTGGAGCTCTCGTTAATGGTATCTTGATACTCATTTAATCGCAACCCATGAACTGAAGTACCCCATCAAATCTGGACTCGCACATTAATCGCGGCCTTCGATCAGCTCCGCTGAATTAACTGACGTCCATGCACCATACGCGATCA